ACATTCTAGCCCCTCCACCCCGCGATTTCTAAATCTCCCCGCCCGCGTCTTTCCCCTTACCCCTCAATCTCCTTTCCGCTCTCCTTGTGTTGCAGGTGTCTTGTGCCGAAGGAAGCCTGACAGTCGATGGCTCCACCAGCAGCAGCAACACCGGCAGTAGCAGGAACATGTGAGGAGGAGGAGGTGGCATAGATGTCAGATCGTGCGGCACAGCAGGAGGCACAGGAGGGACAGCAGCAAGAGGTGGGGGAGGGGCAGCAATAGGAGGCGGGGGAGGGGCAGCGGCAGAATGTTGATACAGCAGCAGTGGCAGCAGCAGCAGCAACAGCAGCAGCACTTCTGGCTCGTGCACCGCCCCGAATGGGTGATGTATGGTGGGCCAATATGGATGGGTACGGCTCATAGATGAGAGTGGTGCGCATGGTGGATGGAAGTGTGTAGCTGCATGTGATTGTGCGACCGTGTTCGTTGGAGATGCATTAAATGCGGATGGATCTAAAGACGTTTAGGAGTGAGGCGGAAGATGTATTTGTTTCATATAATCAACTCCCATTCTTGCCGCTCCCCATGTCTCATTTCTCCCGTTTTTTTCGTCTCTCATCCTACGCATCCATTTGATTTCTCGGATCGCGGTGTCAGACAAACCATTCTACCGGTGGTAGGATTCACCCATGATCGCTGTTCTACCGGTCATGTTACATCAGGTCAACCCATCAAGTCTTGCCCTCTGATACATGTGCCAATGAAGTCTTGCCCTCCGATACATGCGCCCTATGATCATTTCTTCTTTCTATGTGCGCCAGTCACAAACTTTTAAAGCTCATTTTCATTTCTGTCAACCTTTTTTTTTTCCCCAAGTAATTTGAGGAAGAATGCATCAACTTTTTGAGGTGCAGTGGGTGAGTAGCAGCGGGTGAGATGCAGCGGTGGTAGGAGTTGGTGGAGCGGTGAGGTGAGTGGGTAGGGAGTTTATGATGGCGTCTCGATCGATGCTGTTAAATGACATTTGACAGATCTGCTTGTAGAATCAGCGCTCCAGGGTGCGTGGAGAGGTACGATGTTGTCTTGTGCATGATGGTTTCTGAAACCCTTTTACCCCCATGCCAAGTTGAATGGGTAGGAAGAACTGCCGTTCAGCACTTGCAGGCACTACAAGGGCGGACTTACTACAAGTCGGGTGATACATGTCAAAGATACTAAGTAGTTGGGCCTAGGCTTAGGAGCCTAGGCCATAGGAAGTCTAGGACAAGCGCCAAGTATGAGTGAGAGTTCAAGAGAAACAAGAATTGAGAAAAGGATGATGGGACTAGCAAGCAGGTTGGTACAAATAGCAAACCCTAAAGGGCTGTACTCACTATTGAGTACCCCACTGCAGGCTAGACAAATAACATACTCTGACACACACCCATAGCCAAAGTGGGGTGTAATCAGCACAACAAGCAGGCATAGCAATAGTTCACAATCATAAGCAAAACTAGAGGCCGTCATAGAGGGCAAGTGAGGAGGAGGAGAGCCTGTGAGAGGAGTGGAGATAGGAGTCAACGGGTGAAGCCGGAGACACTCGGGCAACAGGAGTGGCGCGCACAGTGGCTACCGGAGCAAGGGCCCCGGACTACTGGAGTAACTGGCTCCGCGGCTAAGACAAGCAGCAGGAGCAACGGACCCACGGGCGACTCGCACAGTGACTGGCTCGCTGGGCTACCGGAGCAAGGGCCCCGGACTACTGGCGCTGCTGACGACACGACGGCCGCCTCCGCTCAACCTCCCCCGACCGTCCCACACCCCTCTCACACACCCCCTGCTGAAACCCTAGCTCCACTCCCACGGCACCCTCCTTAAACCCTAAACCCTCGGCTCCCACAAACCCACCCCCCTCAGCGGCAGCTGCAGCAGTGGGAGACGGAGGAGGAGCTTCAGGTTACCCACACCAATCACCCCCATGCTCGGCACCCCACACACCCACCACTGCGGAACGCACAGCGGAATGGGAGCAATGGGCGCCACGGGGGGGGGGGGGGAGGGGGGGAGGGACGGGACTGGCTGCAAGGACGGGCCGCGGGCTGCCGCAGGGGCGGCTCGCACTGATCCTGGGGCGGCTGCTGCAGGCACGGGCTGCACCAGGGGCGGCTGCTGCAGGTGCGGGCTGCACCAGGGGCGGATGCTGCAGGTGCGGGCTGCTCCAGGGGCGGCTGCTGCAGGTGCGGGCTGCTCCAGAGGCGGCTGCTACAGGTGAAAGGTAAGAAGGGGGGGGGGAATAGCACGGCCCCCAGGGCGCCCCGACGGGCGACGTGAAAGGGAGCCACGCGGGCCCCCGAGAGCGCCTCGACGGGCGACGGAAGGGGACCGCGCGCGGGCCCCCGCGGTCGCCACGACGGGCGACGGGAGGGGAAGCCGCGTAGGCCCCCAAGAGCGCCTCGACGGGCGACGGGAGGGGACTGCGCGCGGGCCCCTGTGGTCGCCACGACGGGCGACGGGAGAGGAGGCCGCGCATGTCCCCGATAGCGCCTCGACGGGCGACAGAAGGGGACCGCGCGCGGGCCCCCGTGGTCGCCACGACGGGCGACGGGAGGGGAGGCCGCACGGGCCCCCGAGAGCGCCACGACGGACGACGGGAGGGGACCGCGCATGCCCCCCAAGGGCACCACGACGGGCGCCACGGAAGGGAAAACCGCCACGCACCCCGAGCGCGCGGCGCGCAGAAACCCTAATTTCGGCGCCGTGCACCACGGGGCGCGCGGCGGACAGTGCGGAAGCGGAAGCAAGTGGTGGGCCCATACACAGGAAGGCGGCAGACATGCCGCCCTCTGATACCATGTCAAAGATACTAAGTAGTTGGGCCTAGGCTTAGGAGCCTAGGCCACAGGAAGTCTAGGACAAGGCACCAAGTACGAGCGAGAGTTCAAGAGAAACAAGAATTGAGAAAAGGATGATGGGACTAGCAAGCAGGTTGGTACAAATAGCAAACCCTAAAGGGCTGTACTCACTATTGAGTACCCCACTGCAGGCTAGACAAATAACATACTCTGACAATACATTCACTTATGGATATGGTTATGGGCAGCGTCCCACCATGGGGCTTGACTAGGGTGAGAACGCGTGAGGAGAAGAAGAGGGTGCGACCTGTGCTGGACAGCTCCCTTTTAGGGTGGTGTTCACCAGAGCGTGCAGGAGAGGTCCGACCCATGGGTTTGTCAGCGCAACGTCACTTAGGTGCTCAAATTTAGTGTCTGATGGTTTCGCGCCACAACGTGACAAATTTTTTGTAAAATCCGATGTTGCGATTTGGCAGGTGTGGACAAGCATCCCGCTTGAGGCCCTATTAGTGTGTCAGATATAAGAACATGTTGCTCGTATATTATAAATGCTCAAGCGAATGTCGTCTGCAGCCTGAGATGTTTTGGCACATTGTTTGAGGGTATTGTATGAGTCTATACTACTTCACACCCACGCCCCCTCCGCCCCTCCACGACCATCTACATCACCTGCTACTATTACTTCACTTCCCGCATAGCACACGCACACTTCTTTCTCTAACCCTCTCTCTTCCCCCTTCCATTATGTTGTTTTTGTCCCTCGTCTATTTCTGTCCATGCAACAGCAGCAGCAACACCAACAGCAACGACAACAGTAGCACCAACAACAGCAGCATCAGCAGCAGTAGCAGGCGAGAAGCAGGAGGAGGAGAGTGGGGCAGTGCGGCAGCAGGAAAAGCAGGTGGAGGGGGGGATGATGGCTGCGCGGAGCAGGGGAGCTTTTTTATGGAGATTGATGTGACTGACGGCCCCACCCAGGACGAGGTGAGCCAAGAGGATTCAGGGGCGATGGGGTGGGGTTGAACGTGAGGAAGTTGACGAGGTTGACGGGAGGCGGTGCTGCTGCCAAGAGTGTGAGGCGATTGCTTGTCTCTGTGAGGCTCATCAATGTGAGGTGGGCCCAACTAGTGGGAGCGGAGAAGGGGGGGTGGAAGAGTGGAGACGGTGGGTAGTAGATTTGGGGAAAGGGGAGAAGAGATGTGGGGAAGGGGCTCCCCAACTTCTCGCCCTACGCCGTGCCCAGTCCCAGCACGGACCCTCACCGACCACCCATCCTGCAGGGAGCAGGCGGGGAGGTGGGCTTACGAGAAGAGCAAAGGGCTGCGAGATGAGGATTGTAATGATATGGGAGCGGGAGCTGCGAGGGATGGGGTGAGAGGGGTGCTCAGATAGGATAGGGGGTCGGGCAGCAGGGAAAGGGAGGGGGGTGGCGGGAGAGGGAAAGCTGTAGGTGGTGGTTGGAGAGGGGGATGGGAGAGCTGGGCTGGGTTAAGGTGGTTGGGGAGGGCGATAAGGAAGGAAGGCGGCCTGAGGGAAAGGGAAAAGGGAGCAAGAGACAACTTTCCTTAGGTAAGGGTGGTATTGGGCTTAGGTGGGAGAGGGGGGTGGGTGGGAGGTTGGGTGGGAGAGGAGATGGGATGGCGGGTGTGGCCGAGGGTGGACGGGGGGGTGGAGGCTCGGTGTCGTGAGTCATTGATCAGTGCTAAACACTCATTCAATGTGTCCCAACATTGCGAGACTAGATGGCAGGATGGATGGAAGGAGTGGTGGAGGCTGGTGGCATGTGGGGTACATATTGGATGCAAGTGTAAGTGGGAGCAGAGTAGAGGGAGACGGGAGACAAGGAGACGGGGGACAGAGAGAAGGGGGACAGGGTTGAGGGGGACAGGGAGACGGGGGACAGGGATAAGGGGGACAGGGAGATGGGGGACAAGGAGAAGAGGGAGATGGATAAGGGGGAGAGGGTTAAGGGAGATAGGGAGAAGGGGGACAGGGATAAGGGGGACAGGGATAAGGGGGACAGGGAGACGGGGGACAAGGAGAAGAAGGGGGACAGGGAGAAGAAGGGGGACAGGGAGACGGGGGACAGGGAGACAGGGCACATGGAGAAGGGACACAGGGAGAAGGGGGAAACAAGGTCAGAAATGGATGTGAGAGAGGGTGCGAGAGGAAGGAGAGAGAGCAAGTTCAGGAATGGATGAGAGAGGGAGGGCGAGGAGGAATGGGGGCAAAAGGGTAAGAAGGAATGAGAGAGGGTGGGAAGGAATGAGAGAGGGTGGGAAAGAATGAGAGTGTGGGAAGGAATGAGAGAGGGTGGGAAGGAATGAGAGAGGGTGGGAAGGAATGAGAGAGGTTGGGAATGAATAAGAGAGGGTGGGAAGGAATGAGAGATGGTGGGAAAGAATGAGAGAGGGTGGGAAGGATTGAGAGAGGGTGGGAAGGAATGCGAACAAAAAAGCAGAACGGAATGGGAGAGGGGGCAGACGCACAACGCCCGCACTTGCGGCGGGCATTTCCCCAACGAGCGAGGGTGACGAGCAGGGGAACTGCGAACGATAGGGAGAGGACACACGGGCAGGGAGAGGAAGGACACATGGAAAGGGATACTATGGGGGGAAGAAGGGCAGGGGATTGAGGGAAGTAGGGCCGATAGTGGGGGGAAGTAGGGGGAAGCAGGTCAGAGGATGATGGGAGAAAGCAGGTCAGATGATGGAGGAAAGCAGGGCAGGGGGTGCGGGGAAAAAGGGAAGAGGATGGGGGGAATGTGGGCAGATGCTGGGGAGAGAGCAGGGCAGAGGATGGTGGGGAGCACGGCGGAGAATGGGGGAAAGAGGGAAAGAGGTAAGCGGTGTGGAGGGTGGTATAAGTGGGGGGAAGGAAGGAGATTATTGGAGGGGGGAAAAGAGGGAGTAGGGGGAGAAAAGGGAGGGTGACAAATGTGCAAGATGGGAACGGAGACGGGAGGGAAGGCGAGGGTGATGAGCAGTGGATGGTAGAGCAACGGAGAAAGTGAGGGCGACGGGGAAAGCGATGGCGATGGGGAGAGAGGGAGACTGGGATTGCAATGGCGACAAGGAGAGAGGGAGATAGAGAAAGCGAGGGGAAGAGCAGAAGGGAGGGCTTTAAGAAGAAGGGAGGGCGCTAGGAAGAAGGGCGGTCATCGAGAAGGGAAGGCAACGGGAAGGGAGGGCAACGGAAAGGGGGGTTGAAAGGAAGGGAGGGTGACGCGAATGGAGGGCGACTAGAAGGGAGGGTGACGAAAACAAGGGAGGGCAACAGGCGGAAGGGAGAACAATGGCAGAAGGGAGAGAGACAGTGGAAGGGAGAGCGAGGACGAAAGGGAGAGCAACGGTGGAAGGGAGAGCGACGGCGGAAGGGAGAGCGACGGTCGGAAGGGAGAGCGACAGCAGAAGGGAGAGGGACGGTCGGAAGGGAAAGCGACGCTCGGAAGGGAGAGTGACGGTCGGAAGGAAGAGTGACGGTTGGAAGGAAATTTATTTGACCATCTGCCGTGCGACCGTCTAGATGGGCAACCCGGGTTGGACACGAAGGGGGGGGAGGGGGGAAGGTGGATGCAAATGTGACATGCAGGGCACGTGTTGGTGTCGCTCGAGCAACTAGATCTGGTTCGGTGCAAAATGCACGTGCATGTCTGTATGTATTGTACGAATGGGCATCTCCAACTGTATTTTATGATTGGCTATTTGTATTTGTCGCCAAATAGGCTGCTGTAAGGATATAGCTGAGAGCTACGGAGAAAAGGAGCAATACGGAGAAAGTTTGGTCGGGTCAAACGAGTGAACTACGTATACGTTGCCTGTCAATATGCTTGCCAATTAGTACAACATGGTTTTCAAGTGTACTGACTGTGAACCGTGCTCCATTGCCCTCTGACCCTCCACTCTGTATTACTGGTTTTGTCTCTGGCCAATCATAGATCACCGTCGCAAAACCTCGCCTCTTGATCACGACAAAATGCTCCACTTCAGGTGGTAGCATGGCTTTTGACAAATTCATATTCAAGAAACTTGAATTTGAAAATAGCCATGTGGAACTCGGGCTTACTATTAATGTGCTACACCTCGATCTTCGATTTCTCATTTGGACCGTGATATCCTTGACCTTCCTGTGGAATACCGAGGGAATGAATGAACTAGAACAAGGGTGGGTACAAGTAGGAAACCATAGGAAGCTGTACCCCTTACTGTCTACCCCACTATAGCCTGATAAGCTATATGATAAATGTTTGACACACCCCCATAGGCAAAGTGGGGGAGAACTAGAGGTCACAAGACCAGTCAAGCAAAGCACAGCAAGCTCAGGGTGGATCACAACGTCACCACACATTCTGAGCAGAAGTTCAAAGGCCACAAGGCCAGTTCATATCCAGGATTATATATATAAAGGTAAACATGCAAGTGCATGTATATATAGAGCACAGTACAAGCAAAGTCAAGAAGTGAGCAAGTGAGGCCAAGTAGGCACAAGACCTAACATAGTACAGAAGCGCTGATGATCACAAGGCTGAAGTGCCTTGGTGAAGATATCAGCAGTGTTGGCCCGAGAGGCCATGTAAGCAAGGCGCAAGTGACCACGCTGCTGCAGCTCACGAGCAAGGAAGTAGCGAAGAGCAATGTGCTTCGTTCTGTGCTCCAGTCTGTGCTCCCGACACAAGGCCAGCATGGCCTTGTTGTCTTCGTACAGAACTGGAGGAGAACGAGGCGGCTCTCCGAGGTCAGTCAGCAGGTAGGTGAGCCAGCGTAACTACTGTGCAGCCATGGCCCCTGCGTAGATCTCAGCCTCATAGCTGGAGCTGAGAAAAGAAGACGAGCGGGTAGACCGCCACGAAACAGAACCGGAACCAAGGCTGAAGGTGTAACCCTGTGACGACCGCTGCGTAGCTAAGTTGTCAACCCAAGACGCGTCTCCGTGACCAGTGAGGACAACTGGACTCCGCCCTACAAGCACGAGCCCCATGCCTGACGTACTGCAAAAGTAGTGCAACACCCTCTTTGCTGCAGCCATGTGCTCTGGTCGGTGTCTCCCAGGAGCAACATAGCGTGCCAGGATGCTAAGAGGGTACGCAAGGTCAGGTCGAGTGCATGTTATCAGGTAAATGAGGCAGCCAACAAGCACTGGGTACGGGCCACTCGGCTTCACGGACTCATCCGAAGGCACAGCTTGAAGCGAGTGGCGAGTAGACAGAGGAGTGGCCTGAGGTGAGGAGTACGCAAAGTCGAAGCGCTGAAGGACCTGCTGCACCATGTGTGACTGAGTCAGGGTGATGGTGCGGCGTGCTCTGTCCCTAGTGATCTGCAAGCCAAGATAGCTGCGCAGTTCACCCAGGTCTGTGCACGTGTGTCTCTTCTGCAGCTCGCACTTCACGTGGGCGAGTCCAGCAGTGTAATCTGTAGCAAAGACCAAGTCGTCGACGTACACGAGGATGTAGAACGGCGGCAAAGAGGTGTCGGTGCGCAGAAACAGCGACGGGTCGGCAGTAGAAGGAGCAAACCCAAGAGCCGCAAGCAGAGAGGGGTGGCCAAGACGGTGGTGCCAGAGGAGGGTCTCGTGAGACAGACGGTGACACAAACAGGGGGCAGACTCAGGACCAGACCTGGACGCTGCAGCAAACACCTGACCAGACGAAGGGACTCTACCAGACTCAGCACCTGGAGGAGAAGCAGTGGTCAGTGTGTACAGGCTCGACCCTGGCCGACGTGTAAACGTAGCCAGGTGACGACCCGTGCTAGCCTCCGTGCAGTGCGTCACTCGCTGACTAGCAGGGGTGAACTGGTGGACTCCCACATCCTGTAGGTCAGCACCACTCACCAAGTTCGTAGAGAACGAGGGGAGGTAGAGACCAGACAGGGTGCCAGAGGGAGCCGCCGGACATGGGAGGACTGTGGAGAAGCGAGCCAGGACAGGACCCCCAGAGGGGTCATCCAGGGAAACCGCAACCGGCCGACTAAGCGGCGTAAGTGTGGTGCGGTCTCGAAAGAAAGAGCGAGACGCTCCAGAGTCAAGAGTGAAGGTGTGGGAGGCCGAAGCCGACGCAGTACCTGAGAGCGCAGACTCACGAGCACCTGAGAGCACAGATGCACTGGCACCTAGAGCAGTGTGGGGGTGCCCACTCCGCCCAGCGCTGCTTTGGCCGCCTGACGGACGCTTGGCGGCAGCAGTTCCCGGAGGCCGCGGAGATCCCCCGCTGGGGAGAGCTGTCTAGGGCTGGTGTAGCTATCTTTGATCTTGATTTTGATGCTATCCTTGCTGCCATGTATGCTGTGACCATTAGTGAGGAGGGTGACTGTTACCTGTGTTTCCCACCCGACCAGGGCATTGGTACTGTTGCTCCAGGTGCCGGTGAGGCTTCTGCTCTGATACCACGTGGAAAACTGAAGGAGAATGAATCAACTATGAATGAAGTGAGTACAAATATGAAACCCTAATTGGGTTGTACCCCCTATGGGATACCCCACTATAGCCTACACAAATAAGTAAGCTATAATGTTCTGACACATTATCCCCAGTCGTCAAAACGAAAGATTTCGACAGATAGAGCATAGCGGTCGAGAAGTTTATTTCAATCGACCAAGCATATCTATCGCCGCCAGCACCCTGTTTCACTTCTCTTTGTAGCATCGAGACTCACAATCACATAACTAATCAACAATGCTCGAGTTTTACTATACGTTAATACATATCGTGAACGTGGACAATCGACACAAGCAATGTTATTGTTGAAGTAGAGTTTGGCAGCTGCATTTTATTACCCCGTCGAACAGACCATATTTGTCTATGTAATAAATACATAAAAAACATCATATTCAACTAACTATCGTATAGCTTTCCAAATTGTATGATTTTTACATTACCTGAAAAGGTTGGTAGTTCACCTATGGCAGTGATTGGTTTTCAAACTCTCTTCGACAACACTTCGTTTTATGTCGACGACGGGACGGTCGACGACAAAAATGCTGTCGCATGCTCTGCTCGACGGGATCCAGTCGACGACGCCGACGTGCATTGCTAATGCACATTAGTGGTTGACGAAACCCTTCTATGGGCACTGCTCGGCGTGCTGTGCTCGACGAGCTGGTCTCGGCTGTTGAGAATAGAACGAGAAATGAATGAACTATGAGTGAAGTGAGTACAAATAGCAAAACCCTAATTGGGTTGTACCCCCTATGGGATACCCCACTGTAGCCTACACAACAGCATAAGCTACATATATGTTCTGACACACCCCCATAGGCAAAGTGGGGGAGAACAAGGGGTCACAAGACCAGTCAAGCAAAGCAAAGCAAAGCTCAGGGTGGATCACAAAGTCACCACACAGTCCGAGCACAAGAGCAAGGCCACAAGGCCAGTTCACATGCAGGAGTACACACATATATATATAAAGCTAGACAAGCAAGAGCAGGTATATATATGTGACAGTACAAGTAAAGTCAAGAGGAGAGCAAGTGAGGCAAGACAGGCACAAGACCCAGCTGGGTGCAGAAGCGCTGATGGTCACAAGGCGCGAGTGCCTTGGTGAACACATCAGCAGTGTTGGCCTTAGAGGCCACGTACGCAAGCCGCAACTGTCCACGCTGCTGTAGCTCACGAGCAAGGAAGTAGCGAAGAGCAATGTGCTTCGTTCTGTGCTCCAGACGCTGCTCTCAACACAAGGCCAGCATGGCCTTGTTGTCTACGTACAGCACTGGAGGAGAACGAGGCGGCTCTCCAAGGTCAGTCAGCAGGTAGGTGAGCCAGCGAAGCTCCTGTGCAGCCATGACCCCTGCGTAGATCTCAGCCTCACAACTCGAGCTGAGAACCGAAGACGAGCGAGTAGCCCGCCACGAGACAGAGCCGGAGCCAAGGCTGAAGGTGTAACCCTGTGACGACCGCTGCGTAGCCTGGTTGTCAGCCCAAGAAGCGTCCGCGTGACCTGTAAGTACCACTGGACTCCGCCCTCCAAGCACTAGCCCCATGCCCGACGTACTGCACAAGTAGCGCAACACCCTCTTAGCTGCATCCATGTGCTCCTTCCGGTGACGGCCGGGAGCGACATAGCGTGCTAAGATGCTGAGAGGGTATGCAAGGTCAGGTCGAGTGCAGGTCATCAGGTACATGAGGCAGCCAACAAGCTCTGGGTACGGGCCACTCGACTCTACGGACTCATCCGAAGGCAGAGCTGAGAGCGAGTGACGAGTAGACAGAGGAGTGGCCTAAGGCGAGGAGTACGTGAAGCCGAAGCGCTGAAGGACCTGCTGCACCATGTGTGACTGAGTCAAGGTAATGGTGCGGCGTGCTCTGTCCCGAGTGATCTGCAAGCCAAGGTAGCTGCGCAGTTCACCCAGGTCTGTGCACGTGTGTCTCTTCAGCAGCTCGGACTTCACGTAGGCGAGTCCAGCAGTGTCCGCTGTGGCAAAGACCAAGTCGTCGACGTACACGAGGATGTAGAACGGCGGCAGTGAAGTGTCGGTGCGCAGAAACAGCGACGGGTCAGCAGTGGAAGGAGCAA